TGGGTCCTTGGACCCTTAGGGACGGCCAGGACATGATCTCGGCTCTTGAAGCCGAGTAGTCAGGCCTGATTTGCCTTACCCTTCTTGTGCTTGGGAGTACCTAAACCCCCAAAGTATGTAAAATAATAGCCCTAAACCCAAAATAACAGCCATAAAGGCCATTATTTTACATACTTTTGGGGTCCAGGTAGCAATAACGAATATGAGAGTGGGTGCTAGCTTCACCACCACTATTTCTTCAGGAGTTAAAATCAGCACGCAACCAGTGCTTGGAAAACTCCCCCTGCGTCCTCGAACACGGAGGTAGCGTTGCGAGGGAGGTGCCGCTCATGAAACACTGTCAGCACCTGTTTTGGGTGGTCCCTAATCCTACACCCTCAACCTTGGGCTAGGTGGGGCTGGCCAAGGCAGGCTGCGATGTTAACCTATCTGTTTCGCAATACTGTTGATGGATGGAATCTTGCACCACCTTAAGTCCCTAAAGTCCTAGGAATTACTTGTACAGTAGTTTAGGGCCCCTAGGTGGTGCAAGATTTCCTCCATCAACAGTAGATTGCTTAAAAAACATAAACTCTAACCTGGCCTACATAAGCACTCCAAAGCTGATGCACTGCTAAAACTGCCACCGATATGTCTTTTTGTAAGGCCCTGCATTAAAAAAAAAAAGCTAAAGGATGGAGCCCCTCTACTCCTGCTTCTACTGCTAATGCTCCGGCTCCTAATTCTTCTTCTATTCGTCCCCGTCTTGTTCTTAATTTCTCTGACACATCGCCCAACTCCTCATGAGGTGAATTATGCACTGCACCAGGTCGTAGTTGTTCACCAGGAAGACGAGGCCTGAGTCCTGCCTTAGCGGGACAGGTGGATCTTGCGGGCCGTGAGTGGATTCCTAGCAGATGGCTTGGCAGTCCAGAAAGCAACAGACCAATTGTAACAAAAAGGAAGGATTTGGGATCTCATCCCACAAACGGAGAAATCAAAATGGAAAAGACCATGGCACATGAGGTGGAAAGTGGATCTACGCAGTGGCCAGCTGTATTCTCCAGCCTATGATAATTTCCCTAAACTAAGGGACCCAAATATAGACACCGATATACTATAGTCCTTATTGTAGGAACCCCGTACCCCTAATTTTGGGAAACCTCCCCCTATCTTCTCAGGCAAGTTGCCCGTCCAACCTGTTGGCCATGGCGGACAGCAGCGTGCAGAACTCCTGCGGCCGCTTCAGCAAGTGGAAACCGAAGCTTGTGAATCTACCAACAGACCGTTTGCTATCTCTACATAACCCCAATATACTATAGTAGTTTCCGTTTTGGTTTCCTTTATCCCTATATATAACCCCAAATATCCCTAAACCCTAAACCCATCAAATATCAGGGTGAGTATTGTTTGGAACAGGCGGCTGAGTACAAAGTATTCCGGCCCTGAGCCCGCGAAAGAGTCCTGGCGCATGGTGGCCAAAGGTTGCTGCCTGAGCATATGGCAGTTTCCCTACATTACTGTTCCCAAAATGGGGGAAACTTATATAGGGCCCCGTATTATAATGGGAACCTAAATATAGGACCCCGTATTGACAGCAATTTAGGACAATCCCCCATATGAGCTATAGTCTAAACTCCGAGTATCACCCTTAGTAACCCCTATAATGCGCCCCTAGATAATCCCCAATAATCCACTTTAAGGAGTTTAGACTATAGTACATATGGGGTAAGGCGTGAGGACGACTCCGCCCCCAAATATAACATACAGTACTTTACTATTGTGGGGGGAATATATGTGAGCTACAGTCTGAACTCCTAGTATACCCCTTAAGAACCCATATAGTACTCCCTATAATTATATTCCCTACAGGCAGAATGCAGCAGTGGTCCATCCTAAGTAGCTTGACTTTGTTGTTGTCCTGGCACCGCTCTCATTATCTAGGGCTTTAGGAGTTAGGGTTTAGGGCGTTAGGGTCTAGGGCTTAGCGTCTTTCACGGTGATAAAAGCCAGGCAAAGGTGTGCACTTCGCTTTTGTGGCCACAGTCATCCCAGCAGCATGGAATCTGCAAGCAGATTTTCTGGGAGAACGGTGGAAAATTAAAGCTTGACTTCTCCGCTTTGCGCCTTGACAACAGGCGGAGGGTCCGAGTGCCCTTCGAGATGTAGAGGCATGTTGAAGAGGGTTGTAAGGGGCCCAGCCTGTTCAGGGATCATTTAAGGGTGACTTTCAGAATGCTCCGTCGTATGGCCTGCGGTATTGTCCCAGATCGTCCCAGCATTCAAGAGGTTCTCAGGAGCTACCTTCGCGGTCCTCGTACTTTAGACTGTATGACATAGGAGGTACATGCTGAAGATGTTTCTGCGCAGGGGCCCGCACTGTGAGAAATACCCTCAACCATGAATCCTTTTAGATCACACCCACACCGTGGCCCCTGCAATGTGTCGGGCAGTCCACTGTCTTCGCTGGAGCTAAGAAAATACAGAGACGCAGCAAGCTCTGCAAACCTGCCAGGGCCGTGTTAAAAGTGGAGGGGCCATTATTGGGGGGTCTAGGGGCTTAGGGCCGGGAATCAGGGAATTGACGAGAATGCAGTCTCAGCGTTGGCCAGCGGAGGTGCGCGTTGGAAGTGGGCAAGGGGGTGTGTGCAACGCATACATGAACATCTTATAATACATCATCGTGTTTTAGTAATATATTCTGTTTTACTGTATTTGTCTAGTATATAAGCGGGTGCAGCTTGATTCCATGCCATCAATGTGCGCAGATATGGTTGTCACACCGCGTGATTGTATGACGCAACAGTGAAAAAAAGCGACCATCAAGATTAACGCCACGAAGCCCGTTGCTGGTCCGACTGCATTCTTAGACCCTTACCCCTAAACCCTGAAACCTAAACCCTAACCCCTGAACCCTAAACTGCAGTGCAGGTGAAGCTTAGCAGCTCCATGTGCCTTCAGCCCTGAAATACATCCAGATCTGACGACTTAGTGGGCAATATAGCTTGCATATGATAAGCAATGTTCAGTCCCCACCAACCTTCGCGTAACCAAGTGTGGATTGTTGTTCGTCGGCGCTTGCAAGTTCTGCTGGTAGGCCTCACGGGTTGCCGGTGAAATCATCAACAACATGTGCGCGCAGCAAGGCAATCAGTAGTTCAGAAGTTGCGGAAATGAATGCGCTAGTCAGCAACCTTTCTGTGGACCGAATCCTCTACCATAAGAAGCTGCAATGTGCACATGCCACGCGTACCGCAGCCTACGTGTTGATTCCGGAAAGACCCGCTACTACACCCACGAAGAGCAGAACTCCAATCTCAGAAGCAGCCGCCAAACCATACGAGACTTGGCTGCTCACTACTCTACAGCGCTTTCAGAACTCAAGAGCTTACTCATGCTTCGTTGTGAATGGAGCGATGGAAGCGGAAAGTAATCCGTGAATAGGAACGGTACTTAACCCTATACTAATCAATGTAAACCATTCCCCCAGTCCAAACTAATCCGACCAATCCCTTTATACTCGCACTAAGCACCTCCCCCACCCCTAAACCGCGTCCCCAGTCTATGACGTCTCTCATAGGGAATATCTAATTGATAACTATTAGCCCTAAACCCTAGAGTCCATTTGCTTTGTCCGTATATACCCCTAAACCCTCAATCCTATGACCTCTACGTAACCCCTATATAAACCCCCATATACCCCATATGAACGCTCAAAATACCGTATACATCAACCCCAAATACCTATGTACACCCCCACACATCATAAGCCCTAAACCCTTATACACCTAAACCCAAAACCCTAAAACATAAAAAACCCAAACCCTTCATCCCTAATCCCTAAACCCCGGACCCCTCAACCCTCAAACTCTAAACCCTAAACCCCTAAACCCTTACTCCCTAGACCCTAAACCCTTAAATCCTAACCTAAACCCTAAACCCTAATCCCTACACCCTAGACCTTAATCCCTAAACCCCTAAACCCTGATGCTGAAACCTTAAACAGTTTATCCATAAACCCTAGGCCCTAGACCCCAAACCCTAGACCCTAAAACCTAATCCTTCAACCCTACAAATAACCTCTGGGGGAAGAAGGAAAAAGCGAAGCCTTCCGTAGCGACACGATGTTGGCTTCCAGAACGACTCTCAACCTCGGCCTCAACATGTCATGAACATTATCTAAGGGGTTTAGGGGTTTAGGGTTTAAGGGTTAGGGGTTTAGGGGTTTGGGGGTTTAGAGTTTAGGGTTTAGGGGTTTAGGGGTTTAGGGGTTTAGGGGTTTAGGGTTTAGGGTTTCGGTTTCAGA